AAAGCGAGCACGAATCGGACTTCCTGAAGTCAACAAGTGGTCAGAATCGCTATTGACTGTTAACGAAAACATCTTAAAGTTGAGCAGCCGTGATTTACTAGGGGGCTAGACACCCCCAGTCTCCTAGTAAATTAATTAGTCAGCAAATTTGGACTCTGTAGTCGGTAAACAGGTTAACGGGTCTCGTTTAAATTAGTTTTAGGCATTTTTGTGATTTTGTGACAACCCTAATTATTAAAAGTTAACTAATTATTTTCCCCGTGCGTTCAGAAACGCTATTAACGACGATATTTCCCCGTGCGTTCAGAAACGCTATCTAAACGACGAACCTAAGTCATGTTTTAAACAAAATAAATTAATTTGCAAAATAATATTGGTAGTTTGCCAATTCACGTCAGAGGCCTAGATCTATTTGTAGGAAAAAAAATAAAAATGGTAGTTTTATTTACAACTTTTTTAGCGAATCTAAAAGTTCTGTTTGTGTTTTTTATTCCGGGAAAAGTTTGAATTAATAGCTTTAACTATCCTAGATTTTAAAATGGTGAAATGGACATATGCTTCTTCTATGTGTTTTAACAACTTCACTTCTAAAGAGGCAAATGGGAAACCAATAGGATTTTATCGCCTTCCACGTGTAGTAGCTATTCAGAACGAATACAAAATTTTTTTTAAAACAGTTGGAATGAATTGGGATCACAGTCACATTTGTGCAGCTCATTGGAGAAATGGACGAGAAAGTGCAACGTTGTTACCCGATATCTTTATTCCTAAAGATCAATATAACAAAATAGTAGAAAAATATAACATAGCTAAAGAAACATATGTAAAGTATAAAAACCCTAGTGACAGTATATAAAGTCGTTTAAAAGTTGCAAAACAAAAATTCGAAATGGCAACTGAAGTTTTAAATGATCTTTCAAACAAAATCGTGTTGAAATAGATACCATTCTGCCATGCTCATCGATACAAAAAGAGCCTTCAAAAAAGAAATATAAGAAACAGTTAAGTTCAGCACTACTCAAGATATCAAATCTTAAAGAAAAATTGATAGAAGCAAAAAATCAAATTGAAATACTTCAAGCACAAAATAAAATCTACAATAAACATAAAAATAATTTTAAATATTATGAATTACTTAACCAGCCAATTGTTTTTAAGTACTTATGTGGACTTACAGTTGAACAATTTAGTTTACTTTTAAATTCTGTTGAACCATATACTCACTTAATTCCATATACTGACTGCAAGAATAACTCTAATCGAAGATTGATCGATTTACCAACTGAACTGTTATCTGTTCTTACAACATGTCAACATGGACTCAATCAAGGAGTTATGGCATACATTTTAAATATATCAAAGTCAACTACTCAAAGAATATTTATAGGATGGGTTACATTTCTGTCAACCATACTCAATCAAATCGATTTAAAGCCAGAATCTGATTTTTTAGTAAAAAAAATGCCAAAAAGTTTTATTGAAACTGGACATGGTCTCACTGATTTAATTATTGATGCAACTGAGTTTGAATTCCAAAGTGCTTCAAATTTTGAGCTAAATTCTTTGATGTTTTCTAATTATAAGAATACCCAAACAGGAAAAGCTTTGATTAGAATAGCACCACACAGTGGTGGCATATTATTCAGTGATATATATCCAGGCTCTATCTCAGATTCAGATCTAACAGAAAAATCCGATACTATTCTGTTTGATTATGAGAGATTATGAGTGATAGAGGTTTTTCAATACAAGAGTTTTGCGCAACGAAGGGAATAACATAAAATCGTCCAAAACAGAAAGATTCTGATCAATTTTCTCAAGTTGATGTGGCCCGTAACTTTGACATAGCTTCAACATGTATTCACATTGAAAGGTACATTGGAAGTGTAAAACGCAATATTTTGCATCAGTGCATAGGATTTGAAGTTGGCATTGAACATAACATTGTGGATAATCACTAAGAGATGTTAAAGGCCCATCGGTAAATTGTGCACGAGTTTTCACTTCTAGTAAAATCCTGCAAGGACCTAAACCATCAGGGCTGCATCCATACTTTTTATCAAAAGGGTGATCAAAGAATCCACATTTTTCAATTTTGCATTTACTAATTTTTTCAAAGTTTTTTATTGCTATTTCTTCATAAAAGATACCCCGTTGAATATTTTTTACATGACTCAATATTTTTTATATGACTCATATCAGGGGTGCTAGTACCATTATTGACGACATCCCAAATCAATCAATATTGTACATTTCCATACATCCCTAGTAATGCTGGTAGTCGACTTGCAGTAATTTTAAACTTTCTGCACTCATACCACTCATCGGTAACTTGCTTTACATCCATATAGTTACTACCATAAGGCTTTGGTGATTTCAAAAAACTTGAATCTATTTTAATGTTTTCAATATTACTTTTTAGCTGCTCGTTTATTCCATTATGTAGTGGTATGTTTTTGCAATTTTGATAGACTAGATCTGTTGTTTCAACTTGTATTTTTAAAGTATTCTGATTTATTATAAGATTTATAAAAGAATCATTTTGGTGAATATTTACATTTGTACTAGTACCAGTTTTAATTAAAGATTCATTATCTACATAATATTTTATTTGCTATATTTTTTCGTTTTCTACTTCTATCACACTTTCATCAAACAATTGTGATTTGCAATATTTATGATCAGCTAATGCAAAAGCTGTTTTTAATGTATGTTTGTAATGCAAATGTTGTCCAACAGTATCATAAATGTTGAATTAATTAAAACAGAATAAATATGTATTTCAATCGGTTTTTCCTTTTTCAATTGTTCTTTTAGTTTTTTTACAATCAAATTTAAATCTTTTTTATAATTGTTTGAATTAGGATCATAAATCAAATTTAAATCTTTTTTATAATTGTTTGAATTACTGATATACAGCAGGCCGTATATCAGTACCATACGACTTTTTAATCATTCCTTGGACATATATTACATTATTATCCTGCAGTGATTTTACTGAAACGATTTTCCTGCTCTGTAGCATTCTTACAGCTTTTTCCTGTTGGCCAATATTCCCCTGCTTTTTATATGAACAACAACTTAAAGTGTTTCCTCGTTTACAAGGGGGTACAAGGTTTCATCAGAAGACCATTCTGATGTTACTTGAGGTATATATAACGGGTTGAGACTGCATTCAAACGTATAATTCTTTTTGCTTTGTCTCTCAATCGTTTGACTAAATTTGGATACAAAGAAAACTTTTGAATTCTTTGGCGCAACTCTTTTAATGTTCCTGATACTGACTGCCCAGTTTCTTTGAGCCACATCATACATTGTATTTTTTTAAAAAAATAAATATTATCTGACATTTTATAACTTTAAACGTAAATAAACATTTTCAGTAAAATACCATAATAAGTAGATTTCACAATTAATATAAACCCAATTACTTTTAACAATTCATTTTTCGCTGCTCAATCAATCATATTTTCAATATGACTTTTAAATTAAGCCACTGTTTTTATTTAAAAAGATTTGAAATTTATATAAACAAAACTTTCAATAAACAAAATCAGACTTAAAACGGTTTTGTTGTTATTTATAAAGCTACCATTTTTATTTTTTTCCCTACAAACCGCGTTATATGAATTTGGCTAATACTATATTGAACTTTCAAATGTGCCAATGTGCTAATAAGCCTAGGAGGAGTTCTCAAAGTAGTTAAGGCAATTTATAAATCATTCGAATTCTTTTTTGAATTAGCATGATTTTATCAGCGTATTATGTCTAAACAAGAGCTTTAGATGCTACAATTTTTTTTTGCATCATTTTTTAATAATGTTTAAAAAAACTTTTCTCTTGTTTATACAATTGTGAATCTAAAGAACACCATTTTTTGAGTCTCTAGATCAATTCCACTCAACAGTGTTAACTTAATTTAAATTTAACATTTTCCAAAAAGTGCCTTAATCTACAACAAATCCTAGTCTGTTCTAGTACATCTTAATTTAATATAATTGTAAAACACAACATTTCTATCAATTTTCACGAAAAATATTAGAATTCCGACCAAAAAAGAGATTATAATTTGCCAATAAACGATCAGAACAAATCATATTATTAAAACTATGATGTTCATTTTGCCTAAAAAGCGTATTTATTTAAAATCTTATTCAAAATTCAAGCACTTGAAAATGGCGCACTTGCCTTATAAACAAAGGATCCGTAGTTCAAACCCCACCTCAGGGCAAGTTTTGCGACGTTAGGAAGGAGGCGTGAACTTCCAATTAAATGCTCTTCCGCGGTGCTCTGTGATAAGGCCGTAAGGACTTCTATGGGCACCTAAAATTAATAGAAAAAAATAGAAAAAAAAAATTGAACAGTCAATCGTGAAAAAATAAAGATTAAAAAAAAAAAAAAAAACAATTTATGGTCTGGGTTTTTTCGCTACAAATATATATATATATATATATATATATATATATATATATATATATATATATATATATATATATATATATATATATATATATATATATATATATATATATATATATATATATATATATATATATATATATATATATATATATATATATATATATATATATAATATGTATATATATATATATATATATATATATATATATATATATATATATATATATATATATATGTATATATATATATATATATATATATATATATATATATATATATATATATATATATATATATATATATATATATATATATATATATATATATATTTTATGTAACGGCAAACACTGATCTCAAAATAAAAAATTATTATTATTATTTTGAGAAATAATAAATTATTATTATTATTTTAAGATCAGTTAACGGCAAAATTCATCATTTTAATTTTTTTTGTCTTTTCATGATTCACAGAAGGGAAATAAGGAAAAATTAAGGGGAAAATAAGGGAAATATATTGTAGTCAGCAAAATATTATATAGACGCTATAATTATTTTAAACCGCCTTAAGTGGTACGAAAAAAAAAAAAAGTACGACGAACTCTATCGTCACTGTCAATGACGATTAAAACGTTTTCTATGGAAATGTGTTAACTAAACAGCTCGTTTGTGTAAAATAGAGAGCTTTATAGTTTTAAATATCTTCTTCCAAAAAGCGTTGTATCAGTTTTATAATTATAAGTTCTCTATGATTGATAAACGGAAATTTTAAATGCAATCTCCTCGCAAGAGGAGAAATAATTGGAAACTGCAACTATTCTCATACATTATACTTGTCGCCACATTTACTGCATTTTGTTATTTTATTGTCTTTAAAAAAATAGTTTTTAATAAAGAAAACTTGAGTAAATCTTTTATTAAGATTGATAAACAACCTACTGTTTTTCAAAAGCATTTTACACAAGGGCTAAAAGAAGAAAAGTCATTTGTTCAAGTTAATGATTTTCCATATGACAAAAGCAAGCGTCCTATATACCAAGATCAATGGTCTTGTAAAACTCTTGATGATTGCTTCAATTTTGAAAAATGCACTCATGGTTTTAAAGTTTTTGTGTATCCTAATATAAAAGATGTATTTATGTCACCTATGTATGGAGATATTCTCGAGATAATTAGAAATAGCAAGTATGCTACAGATGACCCTGATGAAGCATGTATTTTAATTACTTCTGTAGATACATTAGATCGTGATAAATTGAGTAAAAATTTTGTTAAAAATGTTGACGACTTAATAGCAAGAAAAGTATCTTACTGGAACAATGGAGAAAATCATGTTGTATTTAATTTATTTTCAGGAACATGGCCAAATTATGATAATGATCTTTCATTAAATTTTGGGAAAGCTATTATTGCTAAATCATCATTTAATTTAGATACTGTCAGGCAAAATTATGATATAAGTATACCTTTGCTACCGAAAGATTTTCCTAAATTACCAGTAGTATTGAGTGAAACTGATAATTTATTTCCTATATTCAGAAAGTATCTTTTATCATTTAAGGGAAAACGGTATCTTTATGGAATTGGTAGTGAAACCAGAAACAGCCTTTATTTAATTCATAATAATGAGGACATTATACTACTTACAACATGTATTCACGAAAAAAATTGGCAAAAGTTTGCAGATTCACGTTGTGAAGAAGATAATTCAAATTATGATAGGTTTAATAATTAATTTTTATATAATGTTGTTAATAATAATACTACTAATAATAATTGATAATAATTTATAAATTACTTTAAACTATTTCTTTTTCTTTGGCAAAATAAATAAATAAAAAATTTTGTTTTCCTGTCTGCTAGAAAATAAACTCTGTTATTCCAATTTTCAAAAAACTTTGGAGATGCTCTGATCTTTTTAAATATTGTTCAGTCTTTTTACTATTATTATCAAGGTCTTTAAGTGTTTAACAAACTTCTAATATCTCATCTTGAGTCTAGCAACTTTCTATCTGACAATCAATACAGATATTGATCCTCTTGTTTTTGTTAACCTTTATAAGAGAAAGTTTTTATGAGAGAAAATCTTTCTCGCACATTAGATTAAAATAGTAAGACAAGAGCTATTGACTTTTACTGCTCTTGCCATGTCAAAAATTTGATAAAATCTGCAATCCTGGTCTCCATAAGCTCTTTTCTATATAAAGAATACCTAAAGAAGTTTTTGAAATTCTTGAATTATTATAGTTGTCCTTGATGGACAACACTCTTTTTCATTTCTAGTAACAACTGCAGTATCACCAAGTTCTATCCATGTTTTTCCTTATTAGTGATATTTCTAAAAATCCTATCAATAATACAACTATCTATGAATAGATAACAAAATAACACAATATAAAATAACACAACTATCTAGAAGAGTATTTAGGAAAAAATCTTGATAAAAGGCATAACTTTTAAATTTTTAAACTTTTTTACAGTTTATCTCAAACGCATCGCGTTCTCTTGTGTGATTTGGGGCTCTCTTGTGTGATTTGGGGCTTGCAATGCTCTGTGATTTAAGTAAATAAAATTCATTTGCAGTGCTCTGTCATTAAAGTAAATAAAATTCATTTGTTTACTGCAAATATTTATTGCAATTCTGTTTATATTTTTGTATTAATAAATGGCAACACTTACAGAATCTTACGCTTTACATTTTCTCTACTTTATTTAATCATTTTTAACTATTACTGAGCTCTTATAGAAATCATATATACAATTCATTTTAAAGACATTGCTAAGGTTGTCTCGTTATTATGCTCACTATTATCTTACTCCTGATTCCAGTTTTTAAAATACTGTTGTATTTTTTATATAATACTGTAATTTTTGTCAATTACTTTTATTCATCAAAGTTTCATTTGTATCATTAACAATTTTATTTTTTGTTTGTGTTAATTTTCTCATTCAGTTAAACTTTTGAAAACTATAAAAAAAATTTTAATAAAAATTCTATCAAGTTTTTCTTTATTATAATAAAGAAAAACTTGATAGAATTTTAATTAAAATTTTTTTTATAGTATTTAAAAGTTTAACTGAATGAGAAAATTATGAGCAATGACAGGCTAACAATTTTTTTCTAAAACTTAAAATAAAATAAAAAAGACAAGGTTTGCCCATAAATTACACAACGCTAATTTTCAATAATAAGCAAATCAAAAAAAGATCATAAGTTTTTCCATGCAGAACTTTTAATTGAACCAAATAGAAATAATTTTCAGGTTTTAAAATGAGTTCCTTTTTGCTTGGCTAACCATTTTTAACAACCGAAATAATGGATATGTTTGTAACCTGGACACTTAAATTAATGTAAAATTTAGATACATGTGAAAAAAAAACAACTCAAAATAAATGACATCATTAAATGAAAATTTTTAGTAGGTTTTTATAAATACAACAATAATAATTATATTGTTTTTGTTACATATTTTCATTGTTTGTTTAAACTGTCTTGTTTTATTAAGTTTCAGGCATTTTTGTGATTTTTGACAACCTTAATTATCAAAAGTTAACTAACTATTATTCCAGTGCGTTCAGAAACGTTAAATGACGAACCTAAGTCATGTTTAGTATTAAAAAAAATTAATTAATTTCCAGAAAAATTCAAAGTAATATTGGTAAATTATTTGGTTGAACCAAATAATTTTCAGGTTTGAAAATGGGTTCCCTTTTGCTCGGCTAACACTTCTAGGGGCCTTGGCAATAGGAAAGCAGGGGCCCATTTTGGAAAAGTGTCTTTATTATCTGAAAAGTGAAACGAAATTAAAATGACACTTTTAAATATAATAATTTAAGCTTTTTTTTTCTTCTTTTATTTTTTAAGATTTTTCTTATTAATTTTTTAAGATTCTTTAAGATTTTTATTTAGTTTAATTTTGTATTTATTTTTAATATTTTTTTCTTTTCAGTTTATGTTTTTTTTTTTAGTTAAAATTTTAATTTAAAATTATAGCACATTTTTTAAATGCTCTAATTATCAAAAAATGCAGTGAGCTGTGGCCATGTTGTCAAAACAAAATATTATATGCGTGGTCATATAAGGCGTGCATCTGTAAGCCTCTCCTGAAAAAGTTTGATATACATACATACATGCATATATATATATATATATATATATATATATATATATATATATATATTATATATATATATATATATATATGTATATATGTATATATTTATATATATATACAGGGCTTAATTTAATTTTTTATAAGGTCTCAGACAAAATGTCCGACCAAAAGTTATTTTGGTCGGACATTGTCCGATCAAATTTTTGAAATAAAATTTAAACAAATAGTTTTCACCAATATTTACATATATTCATATTTGTTTTGTTAAAAGGAACACAGGAAAAAGATGGCGTATCTGAGTTTTACGGAACCCAATTATCCAATCGAAATATATGTTATGTTTTCCCAGTTTATTTTATTTTAGGCTAGTGAAGTTGTAGTTTTTTTTTTTAATATTCAGAATTTTTATCATCTTAGATCTTTGTATTTTAAATGAAATAGTTTAAATTCAATACTGCGTATTTTTTTAGATTGACGAAGTTTTATTGAATTTTTTTCTCTCAAAAACCTTGTTAGTTTACATTGACTTTCATTACCGGTTTATAAAAGTTATGTAAATTTTTTTACTTAAAAAAATATAATATGCTAAGTGTCAATTTTGCGCATAAGCTCCACTTTTAGCGCCAAAAAGGTATTTTTATGGCGTTCATGTAACTAATTTTATCAATAATAAAAACGGCAAGAAAACAAGTTTGTTATAGTAATATAGTATAATAATGTCTTTCATATATTTAATATTAAGATAAACATATTATTTTTAAACTTGATATAAAAAATTTAAACTTCGCTTTTACTTATTTAAAGGCAGTTAAATCAAACGCAATATAATATTTACGGGCTATTATTTAATTTAAAAATTCCACGCGCTGTATGTCATTAAAATTCGATCAATTCAACGAAGAGAATTTTATGAGTTTTACAGCTTATTGTTTATCTACTTTTCAAAAAGGCACTCCTTCTTTGGCAGGCAAGTTTTATAAAGCTAGAACTTTTTATTCTTTTATATATATATATATATATATATATATATATATATATATATATATATATATATATATATATATATATATACTTGAAAAAATATAATATGCTAAGTGTCAGTTTTGCGCATAAGCTCCACTTTTAGCGCCTAAAAGGTATTTATATGGCGTTCATGTAACTATTTTTATCAATAATAAAGACGGCAAGAAAAAAAGTTTGTTATAGTAATATAGTATAATAATGCTATAATATATATATATATATATATATATATATATATATATATATATATATATATATATATATATATATATATATATATATATATATATATATATATATATATATATATATATATATATAGCCTGGAATTTCAAGGATATAGGTAGGCACAAGAGTGCTGTACTTAGCTGACAAAAAATTTATTTGAATTTTTTGCTTTCTGTTACAAAAGGGCTAATGATTATTTGATTATAAAAGCTTTGTTTTAAAATAGTATAGCTATAGACAATAGTATTTTTAAAAGTGTAGCAAATTAAACTTTATGTAAGTATGTTAATTTATGAATTAGTGATTTTTTAGTTTTTAAGTTGTTTATAACAACAACAAAAAAATCCTGGAATTGTTAATATTATTTTTTACTTAGTTAATATTATTTTTTCTACTGTTAATATTATTTTTTACTTAGTTAATATTATTTTTTTTACAGTTAATATTATTTTTTACTTAGTTAATATTATTTTTTTACTGTTAATATTGTTTTTTACTTAGTTACACTCAATCTTAAGATTATTAATCTGTCACATGCTTATGAGAATGTAAAATATGGTCTAAAAAGTTTTTCTTTTTTATGACTGATGTTCCGTGTGCAAACATTTTTGTTACTAATTCAGCGTAGACTTTATTTTTGTTGTGATAATTTTTTAAAAGCTCTGAATATTTTTGCCAAGTTTTACACCAAATTAAATTTACTTCATCTGAATCATTTGCTTAAAAACCGCATGGCTCAAACCCCCATTTTATAATAACAGTTCTGTTAGTCATTATGACGTTTTGAGTTTGCTTTGTGTAACACTGTCATATAATTTACTTTAAATGGATTTAATAAAAAACTTATCATGTATCAAATTTAAAAAAAGTTCAATGTTTTTTTAATTAACATGTTTTTTCCCCACATGTGTTTAATATAACTATACCTAGACTAAACTTAATAGGCTTTCTGATCTTAAATGCTTAAACTTAGTAGACTTTCTAGTCTTGAAATATTTAAGAGCAAATTTTATGGTTATGTTTAAAGTTTAAAATAATAAAGTAAATGATATTAGATTTTAAAACTCAAAAGCGTATAATAATAATTGGGCTATAATTTCGAGTAAAATAGCATTACAACAAACAGGCATTTGAAAAGTAATTTTTATTAATTTTTAAATGAATTGATATATATAATAGCCTCGCTAAGCTTGAATAAATTTGAGGAAAAACAAAAAATTGAATTGAAAAAAAAAAGAATAATATTTTTAAAAATAAAACTTGTTAAACTTGAAAAATAATTGATGATATTGTATGTAGGATGATAATGTATGCATGATAATGGATATATTAAACTAATTTTTTGTCATTAGCTTGTGATGCTTTTGTTATCTAATATTATTGCACCTAGATTAGGGATGTACCGGTATTCTGTTCCGAATTTGTGATTTTAAGATTATTCCAGATCTGGCCGGAATTATAATATTTCAGGCTGGAATGCCGGAATTTATTTTTAACTTTATTTATTCAAGACATGTTGCTACCTTTGTAGCAACAGGCTATAAGATCAATGTATATACTAAAGCCAATAAATATTCTTAATGTTTATATTAAAATGTCACCACTTTGTGCAAGGCTCCACATAAAAGCACAACAAGCAATAAAATAAAATTATTTTAGACCACATATCTGTAGCTTTGCCTAATTTTATTTGCAGTAATCACTTATGTAAAGATTTCTGAAAATTTAGGAATATTGTAGTGCAAAAAGAGTTGTTATCCAGTTTTAAGCAACAAAAAAACTCTTTTTTCATTAAAAATGTTACCTGCCTCTCGAGGTTTTTATATTTACTAGTTTCTGTCCATTATTTGGATAAATTATTGTTGTTTGATATATATTTTTTTTAGTTTACAAATTTTTGTGACATTTTATCAATAAATTTTTGAGCATTAAATTAAAAGTTTTTTTTTCCAGTTTTTTAACCATAAATATTAAACATTTGTAAATCAGTATTAAATTTAAAAAATTAGTAAAAAATAAAATTTTGTTGATTATGTTAAATTCAATAAATTTAATGAATTAAATTTATAGAATTCAAATTTTTTATGTTATTCTTTTTTGTATGATTTTTATGAACCATTCTGATAATACCATTTCCCATTTAGATTTAACTACACGGAGTTACTTGCAAACTCAACTTTTTGTTTAATACCTCGAGGTCGTCGGCTAGCGTCATTTAGATTTTTAGAAGCAATTCAGTATGGTTGCATTCCAGTTATTATGAGCAACGGTTGGGATCTTCCTTTCAATGATGTCATTGATTGGGTAAAGTTTTCTATTGTTTTAGATGAATCTTTGCTTCTTCAGCTTCCAAGCATATTGCGAGGAATTAGTTTTGATCAAGTTTTGGCAATGAAGCAGCAAACTATATTTGTTTGGAAAAATTATTTTTCTTCTATCAGTCATATTATTCACACTACTCTTGAGGTATTTTTTGCTTGTGTTTTAATTAAAAATTAATAAATTTATTAAGTTATATAAAACTATATATTGCTATATAACTCATTTTTTTAAAAATATTTCAACAAGCATATTTTTTGATAAATCTCGGTTTATTTTAAAATTTTTTAATAAAATCGAGGTAAATCTGAAAATGTTTGATATTTCATGAATACAACTTTATATTAGGGTTGTCTGATAATTGCATCCCCTAATTTTTAACAGTTGTGGACCCATCCACTCACTCTTTACTTTCCCTCTTCCTTAAATTTAGGTACAACAGATTTGTACTCAATTCTACTCCTACCCCTCCTAAAAGTTTTTTTAGTTAGTTTTAAATACAATAATATATATATATATATATATATATATATATATATATATATATATATATATATATATATATATATATATATATATATATATATTATTATTTGCAAAGGGTGCTTGGATCCTGGTCTCAGATGTTTTGTTTTTTTAACATTTCATATTTTATTTCGAAATATACATAGTATTATATGTAGTCTTTTAAAATAGTTTATTTGGAAAGCATTAAGCAGTAATTGTTGCAAAAAACATTTTTACTGCAATTGTGAAATATTTTTTTTTTTAAGATAAAAAACAGATAAGTTAAGTAAACTTTTTTCTACTTTCCACTTTTAAAACATTTTTCATTTAACAGGCCCATAGGAATAAAAATTATTTGGGAAAGGGGGGGGGGCAATACTACTGGGTTAGTCAAATTTTTTTTGTCAAATGAACCTATGCTGTAAATACGTATAACTAACTTAAACTCTAAAAACTAACTTCAAAATAATTTTTTTGAAAAATTATTGGGGTGGGGAGCAAATGCCTCTGCTGCCAAAACCTCCACATCACCCCCCCCCCACTCACCCCCTTAGCCCTTGCTACAGGCCTGTTTAATTTTTTTTTATTTTACGTTTACAATTTTTACGTTTTACAACTTAAAATTTCCAGACATGTTAAAGAAAATTATTTTTATCAAATTTAATTTTAGTTGCTTTTTTATGTTCATTTTACATTCAACTATTTTGTTTGTTTATAGTTTTTATTTATTTATTATTTATTAATTATTGTTTCAAATCAATAATTTTTTGGTATCCAGTTACTAAAGTGCTAATATACAAAGTGCTTAATGCTTCTGTATATGACTGTATATAAATTGTAAAACTGTTTATTAAATAAAAACTGTATATTAAACTGTAAAAAAATCAACTAAATTGTGAGAAAGCAAGCATAAGATAATAATGTTGTGATATGAATGTTTCACGAAATAAATAGTATAAGTTTAAATAAGTATAAGCTTTTTAAAATAAGAACATTTTTTCAAACAACATTTCAATTTTATTGATAATTTTTTTATAATAATATTGTTTAATTAAATTAAAATGTTTTATAAATATTTTAATAAAAGACTTCAAATGATTTTTAATGTGGTTTCTGTGGTTCAGATGGTTGCTGTTAAACCACATGCTTTATCTTCTCAATCAAAACTTAAATTCAATTTAACACTAAACTGCTAACACTATTTATATTTTGTTCATATATGTTACAAAAGCACTACTAATTTAGGTTTACAAAAGCACAACTAAAAACACTTAGGTTACAAAAAGTACTGTTCAGGTATATTGTTATAAATTTTAAATGTGGAAAAAGGATATATTTTTCTAAAGTTTATAATTGCCATAATTATATTGCCATGCCCATAATAATTTAGAGTCATAAATTAATAAAAAAAAAGTTGATCCTGTAAAATTTTTAAACATTGCATAATATCATTGATAAGCTTATGAATACTATAGTTGTGTTGAATACTCTTAATTAGTTTTCTTAAAGCATTATTAAAATGATAATAGGGTATTATTAAGTTTGAATTGGTGATATAATTGTTCAGTATAATTGTTGTCATCCTAAATCAATCATCAGAAAGGTACTCTTTTGATCTTTTTATTGTTTTTTTGTTTTTGTTTTTTTTTTTGGGGGGGGGGGGTTATTTATTTGAGCAACATTAAAAAAAAAGTCTATTTACAAATATCTAAAATCATATTTTTTTAAAAATTTAAAAAATAATTTTTAAATGTGTTTAAATTAGAAAAAATTTCTTTGGTTTTTTTGAACCAAAAAGGTTAGATTTTTTTTTAACCAAGGGTTAGATTTTTTTGGGGCATTTGTTTTTCAAAAAGAACAAAAAAATTGGCTTTTATCTCTAGGAACACTATTGGTTATGCATGAAAAGTATTAAACAAGTTATTAAAGTAAAGAGCTTGTTTCTAGGGGTATCTATGGCATGTACTGGTTGGAAAAGATGAAATTCAGAAAAGAAAACAGTAATCAAAATAGATTTCCATGCACATTCTACCTTTATGATATGCCATGTTATTTTATTTTATTTTTATGTTATTTCTCCTGGGCTGAGAGGGCCAATACAGCCAAGCAGGCTATTTTTTGTGATTTCAACCCCCTGTCAGCTTTTTTACTCCAATATTAAAAATATTAAGTCTTTTTTACTCCAATAGAAGGAATTAAAAAATGTATAATATAAATGTCTAATATATAAAATGTATAATATGTAATGTCTAATATATAAAATGTATAATATATAATGTCTAATAATAGTTTTAATCACATTTATATAAAATGTCTAATGTTAATGGAATGTTGACTTTATGAGTTTAATTTATATGGTATAGATTTTATTTACTCGCTTACAACCTCATATGTATAAACCACCGCTGATGTGGAACTTTCCCCCCGGTGCTCTTAATGTTTATACAGATTTCTCAACAAATATGGCGGATTTTCCTTTTTACTACCATCTGTTTAACAATCAACCAAGTGAAAAATTTACAGCAATAATTGTTGCAGATTCTCCAGTTTACAAATCATCAGATCCTCTGTTTTCATTGATAAAGATAATTAACAAATCTACCTATGTTGACCAGGTAAGAAATTTATTGCTTAAATTAAATTTAAATCATGCTGTATATAGAGTTGATGTAACAAAATGTCTGCATAAAGTAAGGTGATCAATTAATATAACACATTTATGAATATTTTTAACACTCTTACTTTGAGTATAATGTATATAATTTGAGTATAATGTAACAGATTTATGAATGTGTGTTTATTTATTTTTTGTTTAAATTTTTCTTTAGAACCATAGAAATACCTAATTTCAAAGATAATCTATAATCATTTTATAATCAATCAATATTATATAATCAATTATATTTTGTTGATGTGGAAGTCATTGTAAAAGATCTTTCAAACGTATATTTTAGCTATATTTTAAAGACACATTAGGCCGGGTGAATAAAAAAGAGCAATTGCTCACAAGCAATTGCTCTGAGTAAAAGTTAAAAGCAAATGCTCGCCGCAATAGCAATTGCTCAAAAATGTGTGAATAAAGTTTTGCTAATCCTCGCAAGCAATTGCTTTTGTGTCGGAGTAAAAGCTATATGCCGTTGCGGATATAAGTAGCTTTTTTAACTTTTAATATTTAAAAATGGCTTCTTCAAACCAGATTTCAATTGAATCAAGTGAAAATAATATAGCTAGCCAAAGTTTTAACAAATGTGAAGATGAAGTTTTTATAAACATACTGTGCGAATTGCCAATACTTCTACAAAAAAGCCAAGTTCTAAACGTTAAAATAAGAAAAAACAAAGCATTTTTAAAAATGCAAGACTAAATGTTCCAAGCAACAGGAACAAAAATTGATACAAAAACATTGGCGAAAAAGATTGCCAACATGAAGACAAAGTTAAAAAAAAAGTCTGACATCCATCGAACTGGAAACAAGCCTATAAAACTTTCAGCGAGTGAAGTCAAACTTGCTAATCTTTTAGATATAGAAAAGAATCCTACCTTCACACAAATTGATGGTTAGTAAAGACAACTTTATTTATATACGTACATATTATATTATATATATATATATATTATATTATATATATAATATATATACATATTATATATATATATATATATATATATATATATATATATATATATATATATATATATATATATACATATATATATATATATATATATATATATATATATATATATATATATATATATATATATATATATATATATATATATATATGTATATATATATATATATATATATATATATATATATACATATATATATATATATATATATATATATATATATATATATATGTATATATATATATATATATATATATATATATATATATATATATATATATATATATAACATGCTTAGGGGCAATATCAGCAGGCATAGTTCAAACTCCCAGTGCTGAAATGAATTCTGTATTCAGCTCATTAAAAAGTCAAACTATATTTTCATTGCCACCATCAGTTGAATTTCTTGGTAATGTTAAAAGTAGTTGCAGTAAGTTACTATTGTGGTTTTTTATTTTTTAATATGGTATATTTGCAGTACACCTGTTTCCAATATAATTTTATTCTTTTTATATTTTATGTAAAACTATCAATATGTTGGTGATTTTAATCTACTTAAATTGATTTATTTCTCAGGGAACACATCTTCTCAAGCATCGAGGTCCAAAAATTCCAAAAAGATTAAAACTACCTGGTGAAACTAAAGAAACAACCAAAATGGACGAATACAGAGCTTCAGCATGTGGTCATGCTGGAGCAGCTAAAATATTATCGGTTAAAAAATTTAAAGTTGAAATACACCCCAACATGTATTAAATGAAGAGGAGATAGACATTATTGTTGATATAAACGTTGATAGAAATAAAACATAAAAACGTGAAAATAAATTTTGGTTACTGTTAAATGTACAGTAGTTTTAAATTTACTTAAATTAAGTTTTTTTTTTACCATGTATTACATTTTCAACATTTAAAAACGTTATACGTAGTATTAAAAGAAGGCTGAATTAATTTAAATTAATAGAAGTATCTTTATACATTTCAGTAACTAAAATCTTCTTTAAAATGTTACTTTTTTATGTTTTATTTCAAGTTAGTTTTTATGTTTCATTTTATTTCTTAAATGTCAGTTATAACTTATTAAAAAATATTCCTTAAATTTATAGCATAATATAATTATATTACCAAATAATGCATATTTTAATATCCTAATAATAAAGATTTACTACATAAAAATATTATTATATTAAGTCTATAACATATTATAACTGTGAATAAGATATTAAGTCATAAACATATTATAACTGACATTTGAGAAACTTTTGTATGTTTTACTGTAAATAAAACTTGAAAATGTTAGCACATCTTTACAATTCTTTAAATTAGTTATTTATCTTAGAAAACTTTGAAAGTTTATTTTTTATAACATAAACAATACAATAAATTAAAAAGTTATGTTGTTTTCAATTTGTTACAAATAAAAAAGACATTGCACTTAATTTAAAAGACATTGTCTCTTTATTTAATATTGCCAATGCACTATAATTTCTACGCTGCTGACCAAGTAAACGAAGTTTCTTCAATTACAGGAACAATTTCTTCCACATTTTTATCCTCGAAAATTGTTTTTGCAAAAAAAGTTTTTGCAATATTGTGCAGTATAAAGTATCCTCGAAAATTGTTTTTGCGAAAAAAAGTTTTTGCAATATTGTGCAGTATAAAGTTCGCAGTGATAATTATAAATAAATGCATAACGTAAAAATATATAGGTATATACATCAATAGTCAAAAAATAGTAAGATATATAGGTAATATAACAAAATCAATGCCCGATTATCAAAAAAAAAAAAAAAAAAAAAAAAAGCAACTATTATAGGTGCTCGTAAATTTAAAAGCAATTGCTCGCCGTTTTTTGAGTTGAAGCTTTTTTATTCACACGCTTTTTTCATGTGAGCAATCGCTAAACATTTGAGCAAAAGCTCATGAGTAAAAGCTTTTGCGATAAAAAGAGCAGTTGCTCAAAATTTTTATTCATGTAAAGTTGAGCAATTACTCCAAAAACGCTGAATAAAAGCAATTGCTCTTTTTTATTCACCCGGCCTATTGTCTTTAAAATATAGCTAAATGTCATTTATTTTAAAAAAGCACTCAATAGTGTGGAAATTCTTTCTTAATTTTAATAATACTAATTATTTAATTAATATTAAAAATATACATAATATTATTTAATAATATTATGCATATTTTTTAATATTTGTATATTTTATTTTTATTTAATTGTATTAATTTATTGTTCTAATTTAAAAAACCAATCTTAAAATTTAAATTTTATCTAAAAGTAATCTTGTTTTTTAGACTTAATAAACTTAAATTTTTATTGAATGTAATTTTAATAAATAAAAACTGCAAAAAGGAAAATTTGTAATTTTGTTTAAACCAACTTTTTGTATTAACGTTAAATATTAACTACAAAAGACCATCAAAAGTTACTACAAAAGTTTTTTTTTTTCTAAAGAAAAATCTAAAAGGCATAAGTTTCAGAGAAACAAAATGGCAGGAAAAAAAAAATTTTTTAAATCTATTTTTAACTTTTTTGAATTGAACTTTTAAATCTTTATATTAAATTAATTCATTTTTAAAATAATTATTAAAAAAAAAAGTTAATAAAAGTTATACATAACTTCTTTTTTTATAAGTAATCTACATACTACATTACATAAGAAAACATTTGCTTTGCCATTTTCATTTTGATTAGAATTTAATTAAATCGTTTTGTTAAAAAGGTACAAGAAAAGATTGTTGTGCAAAAACCCAATGTATGACACAAATCTTCAGCAGTTTAAGATTTCCACCTGCAAGTAGCACATAAAAGTTGACAATATTATGTGCTACTTGCAGGTGGAAATCTTATATAAATTTAGTTAAGGTGGATTATTAATTGTAGTTGGCAAAACTAAAGCTATATTATGCTGAAAACAACGATTTTCTTCAAAGTTTTTTTTTCATCAATAAGTTATTATTTCTATTTTTTTTTATTTCTAATAATATTTAAAAATTATTAGTTTGCAATAGTTTTCAAAACTATAATAAAACTTTGTATGTAATTTAGTAAACTAGCTGGATAATGGTATTTTTGTTAATATTAAGTTGGGAATTTCAATTTTATGAGCATTTGGGAATACCACACATAATATATCCCTACAGTAACTAACACCCTGATAATGAAGTTTTCATTATCAGAGATTCTACTACTTTAACATAAGGTTTTATTAGCTGATGTCTTAATAGCATATGTCAATAGATATTTTGATTACTTTGATTCAATCTATGCATCTAGCAACATAAAACAAAGTTTGATAGTTTTGTTTGGCATTACCATTTTTATGAGAAGAATATGATGAAGTATGTTCATGCTTATTACAGTATTTTCTTAAGAGCTCCTGGAAATCTCTCATAGTAATTTTACTTCCCTTATCACTTCTAATGTGACTAATGCATCAGTTGGGAAAATCTCATTTTTAAATGAAAATATTTTTACATTACTATATGGAACAATCAATTTAAAATTTTTCTGTATGCTTTACTTATGCTTTAAAAGATAAAAGAGTAAACATCCTAAGTAATTATCTAAATCAGTATGCACTAGCTCAAATGGTGATTGAACATGAGTTTCTCTGTTATGTAAATTTGTTTTTTAAAATGAAAATATCTCACATATTTCACAAAAATAATTATAGTAACTAAAAAATAGTTTTTGTTATCTTTAAACCTTCAGCTTCTTATTACTTTATGTCTGCAAAATTACAGTGTCCTACAATTTTATGTTATTTATCAATCGTTTCCCTTTGAACTTTACTTGTTAAAGTCTTGAGTAGATAAGACCTATCTTTCTGGTATATTCAAAATACTGTCTTATTTTCTTCTATTAACTGTAATACTTTTACAGTTAAGAATTGCATTTTTTGGTTCAGTTGCTGGAACAGGAAACATTAAGGTATTTAAGGTATACATAAAGTATTGATTGAGTTACAACCTCAACAAAAGATTAATTTTTTTTAGTTAGTCCTTTTAAAATCATTGATACTTACTGTTGTATTTTCTGCTTGTGTTATATAGTCAGTATTTAAATCAGAACCTAATTTTTGAAGTGTTGTAAGCTGTTTGTATAAAGTTATAATTCTGGGTTCTTTATGCCCAGCTTAGTGTTTTTTAAGGATCAAAAGTACTTCTCTTTCTTTATTTCATGCATTTTTCATCAAGGCTATATCTTCTTAAACATCTTTCATCAAGTCTAAATAAAAATGGACTTTTTTTTCTTAACTAATTAACTACACTGTACAAAATTAAATTGGCGTTAATTAAATTTATTTAGTTAAACAGACAGTCAACCCAAGTAATCAAAGTTGCTGTTTTGACCTCACAAATTGAATTCTTGTTGTTCAGTTTTTTTTCAGGTTGAAAAAAACTAGAATTTTTGATAATAAGATTTTACAAACAACAATGTATTTTCGAAAATACTAAAACTTCGTTATATCCAAAAGATTTTAGACTGGAATATTTTAATTTTTTTTTTTTTTCTTTTTCCATTTTTTTGTAAAAATTTTTTATTGCATTCTTTTAAAAACATCTAAAATTTTTGTTATCATTTGCAATGTTATTGCAACAAATGAAAGTGTTTTTAAATAAAATATATCATTAGCCCATATTTTCTATTAAGTTATCAAGAAAATAAAAAAGAAATTAAAAAAAAAGTGTAACAATTTGTAAAATATTTATATTTCAAATGCATAAGTTGAGTTTTACTCTTATAAATCTAACTAAAACTGATGCATAAAAATGTTTCAATTTAAACAGTTAAACAGTTGGATTTATGTGTGCAAAGAAGAATCAAATAATGATGAGTTTAATATGAATTCTGTAATTGAGTTATAAGCTGATGATACAGTGCAAAGGCCTATCAGCCCTCAAAATAAGGTCGACATTCCACAATGCAGATTTAACTGCTGACCTAAAAATGTCTAAGGTTGGTAATGTTATGCTGATCTTGTTTCTATGTGTTATTGTGAAATCTTTATGTTAAAATTAAGTTCCCATCCCATTTTTTTAAAAAAACATCTTTACTTCCAATAAGGCTGCAAGCAACCAAAGAGTTGGAAGTTACTGGAAAAAATTAAATTTAAAGAGCAAGATAAAGATTAACAGACAACTAATTCCAAATTAATTCCAAAGGACTGATGTTTGAGAAAAAAAACTAGGCCAATAAAAATTTTTGGAGCACTTAGGAACAGTCGCAGTAAAAGAATTAGACTTAATTGAATGACAAGTAACATGAGAATGAATTTTAGTAGATGGTACAAGAGACGCTAGCTCTTTAGAGCAGTGCCCATCATAATATTTATAGAAAAGATAAAGAGAAGCAACATTACAACAGTGTGACAGCTGTTAAAAGTTTGCTGCAACAGTAGATCCAACTATGTTTACAATACATTTTTACACCTTGTCTAAAAGTTACAGGGCATCATTCAAGAATCCGCTCCAGATATGGCAACAAAGTTCCATACAAGGAAGGATTAGAGATTTATAGAAATAAAGAATAGAATTGGGAGTAAGAAAGTGGCGAGCACGATAAAGAGATCCAACCTTAGCCGATGCTAATTTTGCAAGGGATCAGATAAAAGTTGATTCTAGAAGATGAAGGGTAAATGACTTTTCAAGTACATTACCATTCATATAAACATAGAAAGATCTAGATTGTTGCGATAATGATTAGCTGAAAAAAATTGAATTTTATCTGAGTTCACAGCCACTAAAAGCCACATGCTCTGGTTCAAAAAAAATTTGATTAACAGGCCAAAAAAACAGTTGACCATCAATTCTTTTTTTTTTAGCTGGTCAATATTACAATTTTAGCTTACAATATTACTTTGTTTTTTTATTTTATACTTCTTGAGCTCGACACTGCTTAATAGTTTCTGTATGTAATTATTATAAAATTTTTAATAGTAATGTTTTTTAAAAAATTTACAGTGACAGTTCAAGCCACAGAAATCGTTTACATTGGATACAAACATATTTGATTTATTTTGCTGGTTTTAGATTATCTATAATGTGTTATTTACAATTTTTAATGTAGTTTATTTTGTCTTATATGTTTATTTTGCATCATTGTTGATCATAATTATTTGCATATTGTTGATCATCTATTAAGTCAAACAAGTAAATTTAAAAAAAAAGTATTTTTTAAACTTTTATTTATTTTTGATTTATTTCAATCACAATTTCCTCAATTTTATTGTTTTTAAAAAGATTCAATTTATTTTAACAAATAAGTTTACCAAATTTCAAAAATACCCAAATTGGTAATTGGTCTTTTTTTAAATAATTATGGACAAGTCAAGTGATGGTGGTAATCAAAAAAATGGGGGTAAGTACAATAAATATCTTTAAAATGTTTAAATTTTAAATCAATCAGAAGAGGCAGATATATTCCTAATATTTATTTTTGACCAGGCTGAAGAAAATAAATGTAGTGACCCAAAGCATTCATTAAATAAAAGTTGTCATAAATTTGTTAACTGCTACTATATAATAAATTACAGTAAATTAAGTTCAATTAAAAAAATAACTCAATTAACAAAAACAATTTAGATATGTTATTATGTAAATATATTACCAAATGTTTATTTTATTTAAATCTTTTTTTATAATGATATTAGTTTATTTTTTATTATTAAATAGAAATTTAAGTAAATATTTTTTATTGCTTAAAAAAGTTGTCTGAATGAATATTCCTGAGCATACTAGATGGTAAATAAAATTCTTTATTATATTTCTTTTATGTTGTTTTGTTTTTTTACTAAAATACTAAACATGTCAATAAAATGGTTAGCTTAATGAAATTTTCTTTTTTTTTAATTTTATCTGAATTTATTTTATTTGTAAATTATATTCAAACTTTTGAAACAAACTTTTTTACATAATCATCATTCAGATGTTGAAGTGGTTTCAATAAAGGTGAGTTTCCACTCATCCGTTTTTTCACGGGAACAGGAAAGGGAAGGAAAAAAAAATAACGTGGGCATGCGTATTATAAGTTTTAGTTTGTCTGAAGTAAAACTACTCATGCTCACATGATTATTTTTTCCTTTCCTATTCCATTCCCGTAGAAAAACGGATGAGTGGAAACTCACCTTAAATTACTTCTTTTATTTTATCGCTTAAATGATATTTAAGTGGTTTCAATAAATTACTTCTTTTATCTTATCACTTAAATTATATTTTTAAGACTAAATTTAAAAGTAGCAAATATTGATTTACAATATTGGCTATATATAAACTGCAATATAATGCCAACATTATATTGTATTTTATAAATAGCTAATATTGCCAATAATAATAACATCTTGATTTTTTTTTTTTGTTAAAGATTTTAAGATGCATTATTAGTACACATAACATTCACATGTTATGTGAATTATGTCTTTCTTTAATAAAATCTACAAGTCTATATCTATTATATTTATAAAATTATTTAAAAAAAAAAAAGTTGTGTTACTGCATCTGATGGGTGCGTTAACATGGATTGATCATTGACCGTATCTGATGGGTAGTGAATACACCACACTACAACTGTATCTGTGTAATAAATATTGTCTAACAACAGAAAAATTTTCTGCTTTTATTGATACAGTTCTTTCTTTAGATTTTAGTTGTATGGCTACCCAATGAAGATATTCCTGAAAGATCAAAATGGCCCAAAACACAAGTTACTTTAAGAGTGATACACCCACCAAATAAGGTATAAATAATTTTTATATAATTCTTTGTTATGGTTGTACCAAGTATCTGTCTGTACTTTAGAAAAGAAAACATTTTTTGTAGAAATTTTTGTTTTTAATTTTGTTTCATTTTCTTTATTAAAAGATAACGGTTTTCTAAATGTTGCTTTTGTCTATAAAGTTATTTTGAACTTTTTTGTTCAGTTTCTCATCTTTTTTCTGTGACTGTTCCAAAAACTCTTATTTCTCTAGCTTTTTTCCTCAAACATCAGTTCTTTGGAATTCGCTTCCTTCATCTTGCTTTTCTGATTCATATAATTTGCAATCTTTTAAGTCATCTGTCAATCGTTATCTTGCTCTACAATCTTCAGCTTTTCTCTTTCAGTAACTTCCCACTCTAATTAGTGATTGCTTGCAGCTTTGTTGGAAGCAAAGATGTTTTAAAAATAATTGTTAAAAAGTTTTCAAGAAATTTTTTTTTGTTTTTGTTATACGAAAGTTTCAGGTAATTTTGAATTTTTAGATGTTTTTTTAGTAAATGTTTTTAAATCTAGACGTTTAATTCACGCTATGTGAGCATGTCTTTGATCAATACAGATGCAGTTTTTACTTTTGACGACGATGTATTTCTCACTTCATCTGATGTAATTTTATTGTCTTTATATTATATAAATTGTTTAGTATTTTATAAAGAGTGACAATATTTTTGAAGTAAAACTAAGGCTCTCAATTTTATTCATTTTGAGAAAAAATGAATTATTTTGTCATTACAAAATGCAATTGATTTTTTTTTTAAGAAAAAGTTTATTATAGTTAAGTCCATATATATATATATATATATATATATATATATATATATATATATATATATATATATATATATATATATATATATATATATATATATATATATATATATATATTAGGGTGTCCCAAATAACAACATTTTTGAAAAATCAATGCTGTCACTTCCTTAATGTGTTCTATATGATAAAATAACACTGGATTTAAAAATTTTTTTAAAGAAATATTTTAAGAGGTCCCCAAAGACCCTTGAACATCAGGTTTTTATATTAGGTACCATTTTAAATCCAGTGTTATTTTATCATATCGAACACATTTAAGGGGTGACAGCATAGATATTTTTTAAATGTTGTTATTTGGGACACCCTAATATATATATATATATATATATATATATATATATATATATATATATATATATATATATATATATATATATATATATATATATATATATATATATATAATCTTATAGATTGACTTTGCATTTTCTGTTTGGCGTTCAAACCCATCAAAACTTGTTGGTTTTCTGCCAAGTGTCCATGTAAGCTGTGGGAAGGCTTGGTGTACTGATTCAGGGCATAAAAACATGCTCTCTATTATAAGCACATCTTCAGCTGTGTTTCACAGGTTGGTTACATTTTAATCGCAGTTATTTTATATTGTATTTTACAAACTGTCTTATTAAATTAATTTTATTTGATACAAAGGTACTATAGTCATCATTATAGTTTTCATGCTCCCCAACAACTTCATGAGCTTGTTGCACAAAATCGAAGTTGTGAAGGTCTTGCCATGAATTTTCTCATTAGTTTTATAAACCAATCACCACCAATCAAGGTTGCACGATCACCAAATTTTTTTGACAAAAGTTCATTAAACAATAATACTGAACAAGATGAGTGTTTTAATAAATTATTGCAGATATTTGGTGTTATGCCTTTAAAGAAATCAATTATTTCATTCAACCCCGTGCTGTTTAGAGATCCAGTTTCTGTAACACGGAGAAAATATAAGTTGTTAGGCTGATTTTTAATTAGCAATTTTTTTATTTTTTGAATTTTATTTAAAAAATTTTGTTTTTTATACTTCCTTCATAAAAATTTCAAGTGTTCCTTTGTTCAATTATTTAAAAAAAAAAATTCTTTTTATTTTATTGTTTTTTTGTTTTATATATATTTTCAATGATTTTATGCGCTCATTAAGACAGTTTTTCATAAAAATACGTTACTAAGTTTAAACGTTTTAAAATTCTTTTATTTTTTTTTAGATAACCAAATGCTTAATATAAATAATAAAAAGCATTATTTTTATATATATGTATAATTTACATTTGTTTATTTCATTTTTGTAAAAATATTTAAAAACTAAAATGTATAGATAAAATGACTTAAAAGGATTGACTTGGTTAACCAAATTATCAACTACTTATTGGTTTTTTTTTAAGAATTTTTTTTTTTTGATAGCTATATATAGTTGAATTTCCTTTAATGAAGCCAAATTAAGTAAAAGAAAGTTGCAAATAAACTTGACCAAATTAAGTAGAAGAAAGTTGCGTAAGAATGTAAAAAAAATTGTCTTCTTTGGAATAAGAGTTATTTATTTTTAAAATGCTTTTTTTATTCACTTGAATTTATATTATCTTTTAAAGTATTTTCTAATTATAAATTCGAGGTTATATAAAGACGATTTTTCAGATGTTTTCAGAAGTGCTTTTATGTTTTTATTAGTTTATTGTCTATTGTATTAATGAAAATAAATGAAATTTTCTATTGGTTTCAAACTTACTGTTTTGTAATTTTCATTGTTACTTTTTGTGTGTCCGGGTTTTTGTTTCTTTTTTTTTATTAATTATTTTGTTGATATGCTCCTTTCGAAGCCCTGTAGCTACAAAAGACGAACCGGACGTGACAGGTTTACATTTTTGTAACACGCTTGCTAAAGAAGCGCTACGAATCAACAAATTATTCAAAAAAATTTCTTAAAATTATTTGAAAACTTTTTAACAAAATGACATTTCTTAGGGTCAATCCAATTAAATATAATGCAAGCGTAACTTACGTATAAAACTACCTCACATTTTAGCATAGGTACGTATTTTTCAAACAGAAGATATAGGTGCATGCAAATTGATCGTTTGTTTTTCAGAAATAACTGTAGTAACAAATCAGTGACATTGCTTTCAAAACAACTTTTTTAACGGTATAGTTTTTGCTAAATTTTATTACACTTTTTAATTTTGTTTTTAACCTAGAGTAAACTGTGATAACTTCGCCATCAGTTGATGTATCTCTACTTTTATAAGAAAAACTTTACTTGATTCATTGAAGTGCATATCGTGGGTATACTGGCGTTAAATCAAAACTTGTCAGTTTTGACTTAATAATGATGCAGTATTGTAAAGTTTAAAACACCCTACAAACTGGTAAAGTACACTTAGTCCAATAACTCATAAAACAAGTGTTTTATTTGGATAAAAGCTTTTAAATTAAAAAAAATAAAAGCTAAAAATGTTTTCTTAGATAAACACTTAACATTGTGGTCAACACCAAATGCAACTTAATAAGATTATAAAAGTTTTAAATCGGAAGAAAACTTAAATGATGACGGTAAATGAATACTTAAAATAGATTTTTGAGTTCATAAAATACCCACAATATGTTAACTACGCTGTGGGCGTTTTTGTTTAGTTTATGACTAGGCTGTGAAACAGCACACATTCTTTGTTGACTGTTACATTAATTTGATGTAATCTTTAACTATATGTTTGTATTACTATAGTATTAGTAACAATAGTCTTTGAATTTTCAACTATAGTTATGTATAAGCGTATAACTATGTTTATGTATAAACTCTTCAAACCACTCAAAATGATTACAAATATAATCAGCTCAGGTATTTTCATTTTAAAGGTAATTTAAGAGGTTTATATAGATAGATCTTTATTAGAACCTGAACTTAAAACATGTTTTAACTTTAATGGGAATATCAATTATACGGTTGAGAATGATGCAATAAATCTTTCTCAGTGAAAGGCTGCTTGACACCGATCAACCATTACCGGTGACTAAAAGAACCGGTGATGACTCAGCTCTACTTCCTGAGAAAAAGAAATGTAAATGAAAACAATCAAACTAATCTATACAAAAAAATGCACACATATGAAGATGTGAGAAAGAATAATTCCAATTGCAAGAGATATTAGTTTTTGCATGAAACCGTTCGCTTGAATTGGACACCAAACCCTTATACGGGTTGATCAGCAAACGTAGTACATTATCCTAAAAGAACTTGCTAAACAAACAAACAAAAAAAAGAAGAAAATTATAGCTAATTAAACTATCGGTTATTTATTTCATTAATTTCTTTTTTTTACTCGATACTTTCGATTTTCATAAACATTTTTATACTCAAGGGCCTCTTCAAGCTGGCTCGGGGACCTGGGGCAAAATCAAGTTGTGAAGTTCCAAAATTTAAATGTCATCTATACGATCTCATTGTAAATATGATTGTTAACGCTTTGATATATAGCAAGTATTTAAGGCAATCCTTAAATTATTCGGGTCTGGGAATACGTTGTCCAGTTGTCGGAGCGGCCGTTCTCTCAAATTGTTTTGCTCCATTAACATTTAAATAATATGATGTTAAAAAATGAAAAGCAAAAATAAACTATATTATTATTTTTATGACAATCTATTTAAAAAAAATAAATTTGTAAAGACTTAGTAGTCTTAATAGTCTTAATAGTCGCATGCTTGGCCTGGGGATATACATTCGTAAGAATTCACCCATTTGTTGGTGGATTCAAACTAGGTTTGAATCCACAGACTACTCTTTTATGTGCTTTCATTTAGCACCACTTCTCTGTGTCAGTGACTCTGCAGGCATTAAAGCCCACAACTTTTGCCTTTCTCAATCCCTAACTCAAATAGTCAACTTTCCAACTCGCTTTCCAGACAACCTGAATCATTTACCTTCTCTACTCAACTTCTCTACTCATGTTTCTGATCCTTGTCAGTGATCAGTTTCTCCACATTCACCCTTAGGTCCTTCGGATTACAGTTTGATCTCTCTTTATCGAGTTCGACACTTTCTTACTCCGGATTCTATTCTCTATCTCTCTAAATCTTAAATCTGGCCTTGTATGGAATACTGTTGCCATATCTGGGGCGGATCTTCTAATGATGTTCTTTCTCTTTTAGACAAGGTGCAAAAACGCATTGTAAACATAGTTGGACCTGCTCATGCAGCCAACTTTCAACCATTATCACATTGTCGTAATGTTGCTTCTCTTTCTCTTTTCTAAAATGCTATAATGGGCAATGCTCTAAAGAGTTAGCGTCTCTTGTGCTATCTACTAAAATTCATTCTCGTGTTACTCGTCATTCAATTAAGTCTCATCCTTGTTGGAAGTGAAGATGTTTAAAAAAAAAACATGTTTTAATATTTATAAAATACTTATAAAAATTTTTTTTTATAAGTATTTTATAAATATTATAAAATACTTATAAAGCCTATGTTTTTTAAAAAGTATTATAATTCATAAAAATGCTTCAAAAACGTCAATCGTTTTATTTTTTTATTCAAAACTTTCATCTCTTTCTTATCAAAAATAAATTCAGGAATCATAAATTACTATTTTACAAGTATTCTGATATACTCTTAACATAATCTTATATCTTTTACATATCTTTTACATAAATTAAAGTAATTTTGGAAAAAACAAATCAAACTGCAATATTCAAGAATAAAAAGTCAACGATAGAGTTGTAAATGGGTTTCAATAAACGCTCTTTACATGAGTTAAGTCAGCAATCTTATTAGAAGAGAAGAATGACGCTCACATATTATAGGCGGAAATAATAAAAAAGTTTTTTAATTTTTCAATAATTGTCGCAATGCCCACGGTGAGTATTTGTCACCCTATGTTGTCTACAAAGCAAAAATAAATTTAGGCTAAATGGGGTATTAGTGGACCTCCTTGTACGTGCTGTACTGTGTCTCCTTCTGGTTGAATGGAGGAGGATAAATTTGTACAATAGATTCATCTGTGTTCATTCCTTTTAAAAGTTTTAGCTGCTGATGGTCATTTAACTCATACTTTTATGGCAGCAATTTAACTATGTCGAGAGAATGACATCGACCTAATAATTTATTATCCTATTCTTCAACATTTCGCCAACATCTCGATTCAGGCGTTTACTGTCATTTTGAAAATGCTTGGTGAGCAATTCATTAACAACACTATAAAAAAGCTGGTTTTAAAATTGTTGATAAACCAACGTTCATTATCTTGCTTGCAAAATAACATTCATCCAAGCAGGCTTTCAAAAGATTACTTACAGTCACGGTTTTGAAAACACAGGTTTCTATCCATTAAACAAAAACGCAGTCGATTGAGAGAAACTCAAGTATTTAGAGATTTAAAATACACCAGCACCACCACCACCAGCACCACCACCACCAGCACCAGCACCACCAGCACCACCACCACCAGCAACTTCATCATCAGCATATCAACTACCATCAGTTGTCACTTCTCGATAAGTACAAAAAGAAATACAATTAGTCAGCAAAGTAATCATAAGGAATCTTAAAAGATATCTGCAAACAAGAAATCGAATTCAAAACCCCATGAAGTGAGCCAATTTTACACGAGTGAAAGCAGCAAAAGAAGAGCTAGAAGCCAAAAAGCAAGCTAAAATCTTAAAAATTTAGAGGGGAAAAAAATGCGGCTCAGCAAAGTGTCAATAATAGCGCGACAACTGAATAACATAAACCTTTGGTTGCAGTGTGAGAAAATGCACTTGTCGTAAATAGATTTGTGAAATATGTTGGCCAAAAAATTACAGTAGAATTTTATTGCTATAGTAAAATGCAGAAAATAATAAGTTTTAAAACAGTCTTTCATGCGTATTAATTTGTAAAGTAAAATGTTTTTTTTTTTAATTTGCATGATGATTTTAAAACTTTTTTTTAATTCTTTTTTTACTAAATAAGCAGGGAAAAAAAACATCATTTGATCATTTGTAGATTGAACTAGAGATTGCTTTTGATCATTACTCCCTACAATTAGATTTTAGTCATCTCTTAAGACTACAGTTAGAGTTTAGTCATCTCTTAAGACT